GAGTCAGATGGTTGACAATATATATATATATATATATATATATATATATATATATATATATATATATATATATATATATATATATATATATATATATATATATATATATATATATATATATATTTTTTTTTTTTTTATTTCACTGTTTAATGCACTTTCTAGTGTACCTTGTTCTCAGTTTATTTTGTATACTAGTAACGGCTGAACCATAGGTAAAGCTTATTAAAGATAGAATAAAGAAGACATCAACCTTGGGACGTAATAAGAGTAGACTGAGGCGTGATGATGTCATAGAACAGGTGAGAGGTATTGTAATCGAGGAGTTAAGTAGATCGCAAGGTGAGCTGGTATCAAAGATCATGCTAGGGGCTGCAAAAATAAGATAACTGAGTATGAGCTGAGACCTTGTCTGCTGCAGTCTCAGATCATTATGACTTTCTGAGACTCACTGGGTCTATTTTATGAATTCTTAAAACTTTATTAGGGGCTGAGATTTTGACATTGGGTTGAGATCATAGTTGGATCTACCATACTGTTCTGTGTGATCTGGCAAATTTTGCTTCGACTGTTTTTGACTGGTTCAACATTCACATGATAGTGCTTATGAGTAAGTTCAGTAAATTAAATAGTGCTTGGTCTATTGAATACATTGATTTATAAGGACCATTAGACTGTAACAAGGATTCTAATGAAAGAATAGTAGTGCCTTTCCAGTTCTTCTGTATCTTCTGTTACTGGCTGAAGCAAACATATATAGTATGGCAAAAATTTTGGAGCACCCTGTAAATTTACCTGGCATAGGTACCACAGAGTTCACAGACCTGTAAAGATGCACTTTACTCTCCTGGGATATGATGAGGGGTTTCTTAATAATTATTTCCAAGTAAGCTGTATTCCAGCAGGGAGCTGGTCTTGTAATACTGCTTGGTATAAAAGAGATTATGTCAGTTTCCAAGTGGGATTACATTTATTAAGTACCAGGAGAAGACGAGTAATGTACTTCAGCGATCATATATCTTGCAGAATTCAAACAAGTAGGTAATATAGTTAGGAAGAGATATTTGGGGAATCATATTTGATGTTCAGAGGATCACAGCCACTGTTGGAAACATGGTAGTTTTTGGTGTTCTTCTGGAAAGGAAGTCAAAGTATTTGCCTTTAGTATAATTATTTTCGCCTCGTATTTTAATCTTTTTAAGTTGTGTTGATAAGGGTGGAATTGTCAAAAATGTTTTATGGAAGATTTTAAAAAAGTGGGAAATGGGGGGGGGGGGGATACATGGAGGAAAGTTCTGTTTTCACTACTGTGTTTATGTACTGTATGAGTGTGCATGTGCATGCATGTGCACGTACGTGTGAAATGCTTTGAGGAGAAGAAGAGGGGAGGGGGCTTACTTCAACTTTAAGATACACATGAACCTTTTAAGAACTGTCTGGCAGAATGTGAAAGTTCATTGCACTTCAGATTTTTTTGTAAGTTAGTGATCAATAAGATGTCTCAGGGGGTACAGTGTAATTTACTGCCTTAAAAACCTTTTACATGTATGTAAGCAGAAAAAATTGAGGTTATCTCATGTATGGATGAGTTAGAAGAGCATATTCTATTCTACAAAACCTCTGTAACCCATTACCAGCACTGTTTTTAACATTCTGTAGTTTGTCGTTAGTTCTCAATGTTGTGTATCTAATAGCAAATTGTTCAAATGGCATATATTAGTATAGACCTGTAGTCAGTCTCTCTCTCTCTCTCTCTCTCTCTCTCTCTCTCTCTCAGTACATGTTCCCTACATGTATTTACAAATATTGTTGATATAACCTTTGGTTTAATAAATGTTTACAAGCAAACATAAATTGCTTGTGTCTTGGTTTATACTGCAAAAAAATTAGTTCTAGATAAAATGTTTCAGTTTGGGAAATCAGAAGTTTGACCCTAAGTTCTGAAATTTTGGCAAAAAGAAATTGTTCAATCATTCGTGGTTTTCCTTTTAATTAATTCACTGCAAATCAAAGTAAAGTTTAAAGCTAAAAGTCCTTATTTCACCATTCTCCTCAAAAAGAATAAAAGCACAATCGATATTGCTGGAGATATTCATATATATATATATATATAACCAACAGCAGTTTGTACAGATGCTTCAACTTAGAGCTGACCAGCGGAAAAGGTTCAGTGTCTGTTTATTTTTGGTACATATCTGTAAGTGTGGGATGGTGGGGGTGATTACAGCTGCTCAGATTACACGCTTCAGAAATGTGTTCCTCTGTGGACCCTGCTGGGGACCAGTAGAACCTCTTGCACAGCTCCAAGGAGAGCCTCTTCAGGCCTACCCAACTACCAGACTCGGCACCTAAGGATCCTGAATTAACCGGTATATCGGACCACACTACCCGTTTTCAAGGTGTGTTTCAGATCGTATTTCGGAGTATCATACCCCAGAACAAATTTTGTAGGACGACTGCGAGCTCATCCACGCTCGACTGAACAACCTGAAACAGTACTCTTACTTTAGAGTACTCTATTTCATTGTCTCTATGGGGGTATATGGGGACTTTACGACATTCGGTTTGAATGTTTTAACCACTTTTGATAGGGCTATTTTGCATTGTATTAGATTAATGTGGCAGTCTAAGGTTCATCTAGGTGGCTTTCAAATTAATGCACCCGGTTTTAAAATCATATAGCGATTAAATACGACCATCGTTTACTATCCAATCAAGGTGACAGCCGAGCGTGGGCTCATCCTGTCGGTGTTCTGACTGATACTCCGAAATGCGATCTGACACACACCTTGAAAACGGGTAGTGTGGTCCGATATACCGGTTAATTCAGGATCCTTAGGTGCCGAGTCTGGTAGTTGGTTAGGCCTGCTCTTACACAGCCCCAAAGGTCATGCTCAGATTCAAACACTGTAACAGCCTGATCGATCCAAGTCTAGAGCAGATTCCCACTACAGTGTGTTCTATGTAATCGGCTTGTCTGACACCCCTCTTTGAGAGCAAAGAACCCTTTTTGTTAATTACCCCCAAGCAACTTACTAGTAAAGAGGCGTGTCAGACATTTAGGCCAATTGCAATGGCACTAAGGAAGATCCATTGCAGAGTAGGATCAATTCAGCTAATGCTATAGGTTTATCTGAATGCTCCCTAAGAGAGCCTATAATCTGCTCTGGTTACATGCATCAGAAATGCATTACTGTGGGGACCCAGCAGGGACCCAAGGGAGCCTCTTGCACAGCTAAGATGCTAGATTCAGGTTTGGTTGAATAGCAAGTTGTATTATTATTTCTGTGAGATTATTTCAAGTAGCTGTGATGGCTGGATTGATAGATGGATGGGGAGAGAAGAAGTGAAAAATGGCGAGAAGTTGAGGATGGATGGTCGGATAGAGACATTTGCACTGGTAGACCCAGGCAGGCAGACTGACTGACTGACATAGGCAATTTACAGATACCCCCATCAAGAAAACAGCACTAAAATTATGATTACATATATTAACAAAACATCCAGTATGAGCCAAAATGCCAAGGTTATTTACACTGATGTATGACATTATTGTGACAAGTTTGCACAGACAACTAATAACATGTAGCTGGCACAGCACAGTGTATTGTGACTCCGGACCAAGTTGTCACATTATCCAATATCTGTTTGCTCTGAAAACTCAGTCAACATTCACTGAACAATAGACTTAAAGTATGTTGGTGTTGGTGGAACATGACTCCGGATGTGTATGTGTATATACCAGTGGCCACTAATAGTTGATATTATATACCCTGGTGGTCACTAACTGTACTTGGGTGTCAAGGAGGAGAGTTTGGTGCAGTGTTGGGTGGACAGGTAAGGCCCGAGACAGTTTTGGAACTATTTTGGGAGTGATTGGTTTTTCCTTTAAGGCAGTGAGCTAGGTATAGTGTTAAGTGTAGTCATATTGTCCAAGCAGTAATGCAATGGCATGACAGACCTAGTTGTAATAGGCATATTGTCCAGGCAGGGAAGCAGTTACATGACAAGCCTAGTTGTAATGGACACATGTCCTTGTAGTGACATGACAGTATAAATAGTTGTAGTAGGCACATTGTCCAGGCATTAGGTGGCGACTAGTACTTGTACATATGACATGCCAAGTTATAATGGGCATATTGTTCAGGTGGTAAGGCATTGACATGACAGGCATAGTTGTAACAGGCTTATTTTGCAGGCAGTAAGGCAGTGGCGTTATAGGCATAGTTGTAAGTGTATTGTCCAGGTAGTTAACTAATGGCCATGTTGTAATGGGCATATTGTCCAGGCAAGAATGCAGTGACATAAAATGCTTAGTTGTAGCAGGCATGTTGTCCAGGCAGTAAGACAATAGCAGGCAGTGCATAATCTGTATGGAATATGTGCCTGGTTTCTAATAGAAATAAATATTTTAGACCAGTACTTAGGTCTGTAAATTGAGCTGAAGTAGACCAAATAATCTAAGGTAAATTTGTGCAACTGGCCCCTGATGGCTGCAGCAGCACTCTTGTGAATGTTGTCGTGGCGATTGCATTAGATGTGAGGAAGGCAGGAATCTGTTAGCAGTATTTGAATTTCTACTTATGGTGCAGCTTAACAAAATAACAATTTAAGCCTCAGATTAAGTACTTGTATAACTACTAGAAGAAAAGAGAGATTTTGCCAAGTTTCATTTATTGCCAAGGTTTTAACAAATTAAATTACGGATATTTTGGTGTAAATGTTAGAGATAAGACTGTCATATGATATGAGATATTTTTTAAATTGACAGCTTCCTGTTATGTATATGTGACATTCTAATAAGGAAAAAAGTTAAATCAAAAGTACATAAACAGGAAATGTTGTTTTAAATTTATTATACTTTCAATTTATGAGGAAGTCTTAATTAAGTCATTGAACAAAAATATTAAGCATGATTGTTCGTGGCATTTTTATTAAGGAAAAAATATTTGATGCATTTAAAAAGCAGAAAAATATACATAATACTTTTTTTTTCATTTTAGGAAAAGCGTAGTGGCAGAAAACTGAAGAATTTTCACAGCCATTCATATTCATTCCTTATCTCATATTCCTGCTTGCTTCAAGTTTTTCAAGTAAGTAAAAAAATTATTGTAGTTAGTATAATGAAAAAGTATCATGCCTGCCTGGTCTCTCTTTTCCATTTATGTTACTCTTTTTAAGTTAGTTTGTTATACCTAAAGTTTTCCAAAGAATTGCTAAGTGGTTTGAAATTGAAAATTGAAAATAGATACATTTATTTGGGAACAGTCTGTCCAAAATCTTCTCAGTTGTTTCTTTGTAATTGTATAGTTTTGTTGAAATAAATAGAGAAATAGTTGAAATAAATAGGTACAGAGAGATTGACCAGTGACTGACCTTATGTGAATCACACAAACAACTGGCCAATGAACCGGTCAGTGCCTTGATGACCTCACTGTTGACCTGTATCTGGTGTCCTGTTTCCTACATGTAACACTGTCTGTGTTTGGTCAACCTTAGTGACCAGCAGTCTTGTATCAGATGACAGCTATTGTGTGAGTCTTGGCCCAAGTGACCCGTTCCTATTCTGTGAAATTTGCAGTCAGCCATACTTAAAAAATTTTACGGCATGTTATTTGATGTTGTCATGCTGGTTGATTATTGTTGATATTTTGTTTGGTATGCTTGATAACTTTGTTTACAGACCTATATCTCTCAGTAAAAGTAAATAACTTCTTCAAGGTTTCATGTTGCTTGTCTCTCCCCCCCCCCCTCCCCGCCCCG